AGGAGTTTGAAAAAGAAAATTTAAAAAAATAATAATAAAGAGAAAAGAAAATTAAAAATTAAAAAATAAAATAAAAACCCAGGAGTTTGAGTCCAGCCTAAGCAAGACCCCATCTCTACTGACATTTTTTTTTTAAAGTAAAACGATGAAATCTTCTACTAGTGGTGACACTCATGAACAGATACTTTAACAACTTGATCAGCAATGGGGTAAGAGCGGAATCTGCAAAGACAGCTTCCAGGAGAACCCAGTCTTGTGTCCAGAAAGAGACTCCAGCGATAAAGATAATCTTAACTTTTAAATCCATTCCTCCTGGTACATCACGGCTCCGACTTTTTAAAAGTACTTCTTTGAGAAGAATGGCTAACTTTGTCTACTGTTCCCTACCGTCCCTCGTCTCTCTGCTTAGGGCATTCCAAGCTTCCGCACTCCCTTGCTGCCCCCGCCCCGCCTCCTTTAAAATGCATAAGCCACTCCCCTCATGTTCTGGCGCTAATTTCGGACCAATGCAGTTGCGCCGCTAGGATCACAGGATGAGGGAACGAAAGTGACCAGCCAATAGAAAACCAGCTATAACCGAAAGCCGGAGAAAAGTGTTTTAATGGTGTCTTTGAACCAATGAGAAGCAGAGCAACAGAGGCGTGTAGCTTCCAGAAACACGTGACCAGTGGAGCAGCAGCAGCCTAGCCCCACCTCCTGGTCTGGAGGTAGCGCGATGGGCGTCGCTCCCAATAGCTTGCAGAACCTCTAGTCACGTGCAGGCTTTGCAAGCCCAGCAGCATCTGGCAGGTCATGTGACAGTTGACGTTTGTGCGACGCTCCCCAATAGAAAAGGAGAGCTGCCTTGACAGGACCAGGAATTGGTTTGTCTACGCGAATAATAATACCACCGGGGCGGGGATGGCCTATCACGTGCTGCAGGACGGAACGGGGCGGGGCAGGCCACTGGTTGCGGAGTGAGCTGGGCGCGCGGCGCGCAGGCGCCGTGGGGACCCGGTAGCGGCGGCGGCGGCGGCAGCGGCGGCATCGGCAGCAGTAGCAGTGGCTGCGGCGGCGGCAGAGGCGAAGAGAGCCGAATCGTCGACCCTAGCGGGAGGCGGCGGTGACAGCCATGGCGGCAGATGGAGAGCGTTCCCCGCTGCTGTCCGAGCCTATCGACGGTGGCGCGGGCGGCAATGGTTTAGTGGGGCCAGGAGGGAGTGGGGCTGGGCCCGGGGGAGGCCTGACCCCCTCCGCACCACCTTACGGAGCCGGTAAACATGCCCCGCCCCAGGGTAAGCCGGGGCGGGTCCGAGGTGCCCCCGGGGGAACTCTGAAAGCCGGGGAGGGGGCGGAACCGAGGGCGGAGGCGGGGCCCAGTCGCCAGGTGCGGGACTGCTGCACCTGTGACTGGGCGAGGCTTTCTTCCCTCCGAAATCGCGACTACAGCATGGGGACGGAAGGGGTTTCTGAGCAACCTGATAGAAGCGCCGATTATGAGAAGCCCTCTGAGCTTTGTCAGAGAGTTGAAGATCAAAAAGACTTCCCTACCACTGTGGAGCGTCAGTGGGGGGTATCTGCAGGTGACCCCAGCCCTTCTTTTGATTTGCTTCCTCTCCAGCATTTCCCCCGTTCCCCGAGGGGCATCCAGCTGTGTTGCCTGGGGAGGATCCACCCCCCTACTCACCCTTGACCAGCCCGGACAGCGGGAGTGCCCCTATGATCACCTGCCGAGTCTGCCAATCTCTCATCAACGTGGAAGGCAAGATGCATCAGCATGTAGTCAAATGTGGTGTCTGCAATGAAGCCACCGTGAGTTATACAAATCTATGAAATGGGCCCTGTTTCCTGGATCCTCTTTCTGGTCTCTTGGTTCTAAACCCTGACCTTCCGGCTCTTTGCCAAGTGTTCTTGATGATACCCAGGTTTCAGTTCCAGGTGTCTCACACAGCTGTTTCCCCAGAAGCCGCTCACCAAAGCTAATGCTTACTGTTACTCATCTTCACACATAGCAAATGTCATGATATAGTCTTTTATTTCTACTTCCTGCCTAGCACCTTATCTTTCTGATCTCATAAAGTCTTTTTGGAGGGAAGTGGAAGGGATTGGGATTAGAGGTTTGCTTGCTGATGACCCTATTATTCTCTAGCCAATCAAGAATGCACCCCCAGGGAAAAAATATGTTCGATGCCCCTGTAACTGTCTCCTTATCTGCAAAGTGACGTCCCAACGGATTGCATGCCCCCGGCCCTACTGGTAAGAGGCATATGGTGGAGAAGGGCATAAGTGGGGAACTAGAAAGTCAAAAAAGAATAAACATAGGTAGAGAACATAAATGTGAGAGAGCCTAGGGTTTATTAGGAGGAGAAAAGGCTATGGAGCACGTGCCTCAGGAATGTTACAGCCGTCTTTCTCATTTCTCAATAAAGATATTGGGATGAAATGATGTCCTTTACTTAATAAAGATGTTGAAATGAAATTATGTCCTTTAGGAAAATAGAAAGCCTTGGGGACTGAGTGTGTTATCCTAAGGTCAAGAGGGGTATTAGGGACCTGAAGTTTAAGCAATGCTCTTTCTTTCTCAAGGATTCTTGAGGGTATACAGTTGGGGGACCGAGTATCTAAGTGTACAGAGAAATCAAATGACTTGATAGAGAGGCAGGGAGTAGGGGATGTGCAACAGGGACTGTGTGGGGATTTTTAGGATTAAAAACTTTTCGCCGGGCGCGGTGGCTCAAGCCTGTAATCCCAGCACTTTGGGAGGCCGAGGCGGGCGGATCACGAGGTCAAGAGATCGAGACCATCCTGGTCAACATGGCGAAACCCCGTCTCTACTAAAAATACAAAAAATTAGCTGGGCATGGTGGCGTGTGCCTGTAATCCCAGCTACTCAGGAGGCTTAGGCAGGAGAATTGCCTGAACCCAGGAGGCGGAGGTTGCGGTGAGCCAAGATCGCGCCATTGCACTCCAGCCTGGGTAACAAGAGTGAAACTCCGTCTCAGAAAAAAAAAAAAAAAAAAAAAAAAAAACACTTTTCAAACACAATCTTTTTCTTTTGTACAGCAAAAGAATCATCAACCTGGGGCCTGTGCATCCCGGACCTCTGAGTCCAGAACCACAACCCATGGGTGTCAGGGTTATCTGTGGACATTGCAAGAATACTTTTCTGGTGAGGAGGGGGTATTGGAAAGGGGAGGGAAAAGGAGACTAGGAGTCTTTTCGAGTATATTTCTCCAAGTATTGATAATGACCTGGAAAGGTCTGTTTTATGTTCTGCATCCCAACCGCAAGGTTCTCATTGAGGGGGACCTTGCTTCTGCTATTATTTTTGTTTCCTTTCTTTATAGTGGACAGAGTTCACAGACCGCACCTTGGCACGTTGTCCTCACTGCAGGAAAGTGTAAGTGATTAGGGATTGAGCTGATGATTGAGTGATGTATGGAGTAAAAACTTCAGGGTCACAGAAAGCATCCATTTCTACTTGCCTTCCCGCAGGTCGTCTATTGGGCGCAGATACCCGCGTAAGAGATGTATCTGCTGCTTCTTGCTTGGCTTGCTTTTGGCAGTCACTGCCACTGGCCTTGCTGTGAGTACCCTTGCCCCACCTCTTTAATTCTGCAACCTCATCCCCATAGGCTTAAGATTTGGGAAATTGCTACCCTAAAGAAAATGGAAGAAAGTTGGGAGAGTAGTTTTGTTTTAATATACGTATGAGCTAAAATGGAAGGCAGCAGATAAAACAGTCTTTATTACTACTAAAAGAGTGAAAAACAGCCATCCTCTCTCTGTAGGATGATAGGACACTGGAGAAGTGCTTAATGTAAGCAAAGTTGCTATTTGCAAACCTGGCTCTCTTATCAGATATTAAGAAAAACTGACAGATAAGTATGGCATGGGATTGAGTATGTTATTGCCTAAGGGAAGGGAGCTCAACAACTGCCTTTTAAGAAGGTCCCTGAGGGTGGCTACATGTGGATAGGAAACAAGGACTGAAGCCTGAGTTACTACGTTCTTAGGACTAATAGGAGATAGTGGAGACCAACATTAACCCCATCTTTCTTTTCTTCTCCCTCCATATCTTCATCAGTTTGGCACATGGAAGCATGCACGGCGATATGGAGGCATCTATGCCGGCTGGGCATTTGTCATCCTGTTGGCTGTGCTGTGTTTGGGCCGGGCCCTTTATTGGGCCTGTATGAAGGTCAGCCACCCTGTCCAGAACTTCTCCTGAGCCTGATGACCCACAAGACTGTGCCTGGCCCCTCCCTGGTGGGGACAGTGACACTACAAAGGGAGCTGGGGTAGTAAAAGGCTCCCTGGGCTTCTAGAAGGAAGCCAAGCAGCTGCCTTCCTTTTCCCTGGGGAGAGGTAGGAAGGAACCAGGCCCTCACTTAGGTTTGGAGGGGCAGGTAAGACCACTGCTGACCATCTGCTTTCCTCCAAGGGTTGCTGTGTCTAGGGTGAAGTAGGCAAATGTTGCCCTTAAAACGGTCCTAAAGATGGTTCCAGACTTGTCCTTCCTGTGTGCTCCCTGAGAGCCATTCCTGTCCCTTACACATTCCAGGGCAGGGTGGGGGTGGGTAGCCCTGGGGGTTCCCCTCCTTCTTGTGCACCATTGGGACTTTGCTGCTGCTATTGCACTTCACCAGGGGTTGGCTCTGGCCTCAGTACCCTCAGTCTCCTCTCCCCACATTGTGTCCTGTGGGGGTGGGGTCAGCCGCTGCTCTGTACAGAACCACAGGAACTGATGTATATATAACTATTTAATGTGGGATACGTTCCCCTATTCCTGTATTTCCCCCAATTCCTCCTTCCAACCTTTTTTACCCCCCCAGTTGCAGTATTAACTGGGCTGGGTAGGGTTGCTCTGTCTTTGGGGAGGTTAGGGACTTATCCTGTGCTTGTAAATAAATAAGGTCATGACTCTACCCTTTTTCAGTTGTTAACTTGTATGCATGAAAATATGAGGAGGAAGGGAATGTGTAGCCCCACGAAGGGGTAAGACACAAAGAGAGCAAGGATGAAACTATAGCTTTTTATTTTCATGTGGATAATTCAAACAAAGTCACTAGCAGCCTTTGTTCAGTTTTTGTTTTTTGTTTTTTTTTTAAAAGAAATCCTCAAAAAAATCTTGAGCTTAAAAGAAATCTAAGTCTGCTACAGGAGCCTGGCTGGAGGATTCCTATTTTTATAGATGAGAAATAGAATGCAGATTTCTCTTCAGAGTGATTAAAGAAGGAATGGTAGTTTAGGGGGCTTATTTCCCAGACTCCAACTGATTTAGGGGTGGTGTCACAGTGCTAGATATAGGGTGATAGGACAGTGATCACTGCCAAGAGCCTTGGAACGGATCTTGCTGTCACACAATGCAGGTAACAGAGAGTGGGACAACAAAAAATAATCAAGGCGCCAACCAACATTCTTGGATCGAGCATTCATCATGTAAGTCCAAAAGGTGTAGGCATAGGCTGTGTTGGGGTAGAGGTGCCTAAAGCTGTCAGCCAGTGGCACAGCCTGCAGTAATTCCCCAAAGCCTTGGCGCTCTTGTGGCGTGAAGCCAGCATTTTTTTTGTTTCCCTTGGGGTTGCGAAGGTCAATTTCTTCATGGGCTACATTGAGGTCTCCACACAGCACAAGGGGCTTTCGGGAAGCTAAGCCCTTCAGGAACTTGCGAAAGGCTTCATCCCAGCGCTGCCGGTACTCCAGTCGTACCAGACCCCGGCCTGCATTAGGTACATATGCTGTTACCAGCACAAACGAGTCAAATTCAGCCACAATCACTCGGCCTTCCTGATCATGCTCCTCCTCACCTACAGAAATGATTAAACAGAATTAGCATAAAAATCCATAAGAAAAGAGAAAGCAATCAAGAGGTGGGGTAGAGATGGAGAATTGGCAATTGGTTTTGAAGAGCTCGGGCATTAGGGATTAACAGGGTCTCACCTATGCCATAAGAAACTTTGAGTGGGCACTGGCGGGAAAGTAGGCCCACGCCACTGTACCCTTCTTTATCCGAGGGAGCTGACCAGTATTGATGAGGGAGTCCAGGCAGCTCTTGAAGTTCAGCTGGTAGTTTGTTCTCTGAACATTTGGTCTCTTGAAGGCACAGTATATCTGGGGCTTCTTCCTTTACCCACTGTAAGTGAAAAGGTGTAAAACATCAATTCAGAACATTTATTGAATATGTGCACAGTTTAAACAGTCCCTTGGCCTAAGGAGTTCAAGTAGTACAAAATTTAAACAATTATAAGCTATATAAATAAAAATAGAGGGAGATAAAGTATTACAAGCTATACTAAGGAGACTGTGTTTTTTCCATAGGCAGTGGATAGCCAGCTAAGATTTTTAAGCAGCAGTTAATGGAATGGAGGACATGCTGAAGATAAAATGGAGGAAGTATAGTAAAGAGGTTTTTGCAACAGTCTGAGAAGAGGAGAGAACATTAAACGAAAATGGCAATAGAACTGAAGAAACGGACATTTAGGAAACACAATTGGCAAGACATAGCTCTCCTGGGCAGGAGAAAATCAGCCTGAAGGCTAAACGGAAAAAGGGGTGACTAAACCCTAAGATCATTCAATGCTAAAGAATCTCTCTACCAAAGTAGAAAGTGATATTAAAAAAGAAAAATACATCTCTTCCCCTCCTTAAATTCCACTCACATCTAATCCTTTCTTCTTAATCCAGGCTCGAAGCCCATCCACATTCCAAGAGCAGATCTTGAGTGTGGCGGGTTTGCCGCTGGGTGAAGTTTTCTGATCTGGGGGGTCCTCATACAGGGCTGGGCCCTCTCCTGCTACCTCTTTGTCGTTTTTCTTTGCGGCCGTCTTACTCTTCTTGGCCTCTGGCTCTATAAAATGAGTAATATATAGTGACAAAAAGTTGGTGGTTTCCAACCTCGATCTGGCGTTAACTATACACCCAACGGAAGTGTGGTGTTACCGCGACTTCTTCACAAATCCCTGCAAAAATGAGCGGCCCATAGTTACCGTTATCAAGGGAATTCCCGCCGCAGCTTCTTGGAAGAGGGGCTCATTTCATTCTCTTACCCGTCTTGAGCTCTTCCCCGTCTTCTGCCACTGCTCCCTTTTTCCCACGCTTCGGCATTCCCGTAACGAACGCCCTTCGGAGGCACCTGTACTGCGTCGCCCACCGAAGGAGTATTTTTACCGCGTTGCCTACAGACGCAAAGAAATGAAACCAGCTAACACTGGGGAGAAGACTCCTTCCTAGAGCGTCCCCGCACCAGGTCCCGCTTTTCAAACCATGTTATTTCTAAATCCTTTTCCAGCCTCGGTGCATCATAGGCCCTTCAGCCCCTCACCCACGTAACAAGATCATTTCATCGTGCCTTGTACCCTACTCGCGAGATCTGCCCTCCAGCTAACTGAGGATCTTAATTAAGGATCCTGACTCAAGCTTGCCGTTCAGACTGCCAGCGAAGGCCCTCTTACGAGCAAAAGAGCAGCCCGGTATCTGCACTGGTCCGGACGCAGCACAACTCCTCCAAACCCGAGCACAAAGAAAGGCGCACGCCGAGCCCCCACATGGGTAGCGGACCTGGTCACGTGATCCGAGACACGCATCACGTGGCCAAAGAAGTCGCGTGATTGGTCTGTCTGACGCCACGTGACGGGGAAGCTTGGCCTAGCCTCTCTTCTTCCCAGCAGACTTAAGGCCCCAACCCTCCTTCGGGGTGTTTATCGTTGTGCCAGATGCTCGGCACATTCTGTGAATGTTGCTTAAGGTTCTAACGCTGTGCAAGAGGGAAAAAAAAACAATGGAGAAGGCTGCGCTGGACCATAGGAAAGGGATAGAAAAACGCATAGGAATGTAAAGCACAGAGGCGGCTCGGCGTCCCTGGCAGTTAGGAAGACAGGTCCCCGGAGGGGCCTTGGCGGGTTTTCGCTCGCGGGAGTTCTGCTGTGTCTCTCCTACTGCGGTCTCCAGCCTCGCCCTCTTCCTCTGTGCTCCGGAAAGCTGCGGCCCAGCGCGGACTAGGGAGGACTTCCACTCCTTAGGTTGCTCGGAGTCCTATTGGCGTTTTCTCCCAGGCTTCGCTATGCCGGCGGTGCTCGGTTTTGAAGGCAGCGCCAATAAGATTGGCGTGGGAGTGGTGCGGGATGGCAAGGTGCTGGCGAACCCGCGGCGGACCTACGTCACGCCTCCAGGCACAGGTGGGTGAGTAGGAGATTTGAGAGTTTTCCGCGCACTTCCCCGCACGGAATTAGTCTTCCGTCTTCCGAAACACTAGTTAAGTGGGGCCTTGGGTGCATTGTCCGTTCTTACAGCTTTTGATCCGAGCCTCAGGGAAATTATGTGACTTTATTAATATCACAAGGCTAATTAGAAGAGGTACAGGCACTTGGAGGTGGATCTCATAAGTTAGTTTACCTTTTATTGAGCGCATTTTATGTGCTAAGCGTTAAGAAATAAATGTTACGATTCTGTTGTGGAATCAGATATATAAATAGATGTTTATTTTACAGCATGATAAACAGTGTAATAGAGATGGATTCGAAATATTCTGTTTAAAAAAGTGCTTAGTAGGAGTATAGATTCCAGTTGCCCTGAATATACACTCCTTTAAAAAAAAAAAAGTACTTTTTAAAAAATAGGATGGGGAGAGAGAAGAGAGTGGAAAAGACTCCCAGCTTACATGCCAGACAGAAGTGGCTGGCTTTGCAATATTCATATTAAATATTTATGTTCTGGACATTTGGTCTTTATTTTTATTTTTAATTTTTTTTTGAGACGGAATTTCGCTCTTGTTACCCAGGCTAGAGTGCAATGGCGCGACCTCGGCTCACCGCAACCTCTGCCTCCTGGGCTCAGGCAATTCTCCTGCCTCAGCCTCCTTAGTAGTTGGGATTACAGGCACGCACAACCATGCCCAGCTAATTTTTTGTATTTTTAGCAGAGACGGGGTTTCCCTATGTTGACCAGGATGGTCTCGTTCTCTTGACCTTGTGATCCACCCGCCTCGGCCTCCCAAAGTGCTGGGATTAAAGGCGTGAGCCACCGCGCTCGGCTATTTTTAATTTTAAATTAATTTAATTTTATTTTGAGATGGAATCTCACTTTGTCGCCCAGGCTGGAGTGCAGTGATGCCCTCTCGGCTCACCACAACCTCCAACTCCCGGGTTCAAGCAATTGTCCTGCCTCAGCCTCCCAAGTAGCTGGGAGTACAGGTGTGCACCACCACGCCCGGCTAATTTTTGTGTTTTTAAGTAGAGACTGGGTTTCATCATGTTGGTCAGGCTGCTCTTGAACCCCTGACCTCGTGATCTGCCCACCTCACCTCCCAAAGTGCTGGGATTACAGGTGTGAGCCACTGCACCCGGCTTCTTTTTTATTTTTATTTAATTTTGTTTGAGACAGAGTCTTGCTCTGTCGCCCAGGCTGGAGTGCAGTGGCACACTCTTGGCTCACTGCAACCTCTGCCTTTCAGGTTCAAGCGACTGACTCTTCTACCCCAGCCTCCTGAGTAGCTAGGACTACAGATGTGTGCCACCAAGCCCAGCTAATTTTTATTTTTTTAGTGTAGATGAAGTTTCACCATGTTGGCCAAGCTGATCTGGGACTCCTGACCTCAGGTGATCCTCCCAACTCAGCCTCCCAAAGTGTTGGGATTACAGGCTGAGCCACTGCCCAGGCTTGGTCTTTGTTTTTAAAATGGGAATAATACCTGTATCATTAAATCTTGAAGATTAGATGAAAGTACCAAACACATTACAATTTTTAACTGATATTATTAGTAAGCTATTATATCTTGCTTACTTGCCCCTCAAACACTTGTATGCATAGGAGAGAGCAACTGACTTGCATGTATCTGAAAAGCCTTCCTGAACAGGTGATACTGTGACAGATTACTCATTAGAAATATATATGTATATTTAGCATTCATTCCTCTAGACACTTGGGCACTGGGAATACAAAGATAAATAAAATACTCAGTGCTTTGAGATACTCATGATTAAGATGAGCAAACCAGGCCAGGTGTGGTGGTTCACGCCTGTAATCTCAGCACTTTGGGAGGCCGAGGCAGGTGGATCACCTGAGGTCAGGAGTTCAAGACCAGCCTGGCCAACATGGTGAAACCCTGTCTTTAGAAGAAAAAATATATATATATTTAAAAAAAAATGAGCAAACTATGGAAAATTATAATGCTATAATTGTTATGTTAAATAAATGACATCATCATCTATAGAGTTCTGTAGGGTCACAGAGAAAGAAGATCACCAAACAGTATGAGGTAGATACCACTTGCATTGAGTCCTGAAGGCTGAGTAGGAGTTGGGTAGGAAGAAGAGCATTTCTGAAAGTTGAACGGGCTATGTAGAAGCTGGTAAGAGTATATATCTGAAAACCTGGAAGATAGGATGCTTAAGGAAAGTGAAAGGTCTCTTCCTACATCACTAAAACTCTTGTTGCTTTAACTTCCTGCCTACCTTTGCTACAGAAAATCCCTGTGATCTCTGACCTATGTTCATTTTCTAGGATTCCTTCCGGGTGACACAGCCAGGCATCACCGAGCTGTTATCCTAGACCTACTACAGGAGGCACTAACAGAGTCTGGATTAACCTCCCAGGATATCGATTGCATTGCATACACCAAGGGTATGGCTGGGAGAGTGGTCAACGCTGGAGGAATATACCTGCAACCTGGCTAGGTCAAAATAGCCAACACCTTACCTCTGCCATCACCGGTACCCCTGCCCCAGCTCACATCCCTTACTTCACCCACCTGTTGTTTTTTTTTTCCAGTCTCTAGGATTGTAACTTCCATTTCTATCCTCCTAGGTCCTGGCATGGGTGCCCCACTGGTTTCTGTGGCTGTCGTGGCTCGTACTGTGGCCCAGCTGTGGAATAAGCCATTGTTGGGTGTGAACCACTGTATAGGCCACATTGAGATGGGCCGCCTCATCACTGGAGCCACCAGCCCAACCGTGTTATATGTCAGTGGAGGGAATACGCAGGTATTTAGAGTACTCTACCCATTCTCTCTCAACTTCTGAGGCACCGAACCGGTGTCTTCCTTGTTCTACCTGAGTCAGGGGAACGTCAGGAACAAAGCTGGGCTCATTTGAACCTAAAATACTGTAAACCAGAAAACCCCCAACAGAGTTTATAGTATTGCAGATTTTGGCAGCCTGATCAGAATATTAGATGACTTATCTGATTATCATGAGACTTTATATTTGATTATAAAGATTAGGAATTTCTACTTCAGGAAAGAAATGAATGGTAAGGATTAAGCCTTCAAAATAATGAATATCTGAAAGAACGATCTTGCATTATTTTGAAGCTTATTTTGCCTATAAATCTTAGCAATTAAAACTAAGGGGCACTATCTGATTTATTATTTTAGGGCAACTACATGTCTTTATGTTACTGGGGATGATTATATAGACTTGTTATTCTAAGAAGTAAGAAGTATAAATAACTTTAAAAAAATACTTCAGAAATTATAGAAGGTATTTTATTTTATTTGAGATGGAGTTTTGTCCTTATTGTCCACGCTGGAGTGCATTGGCATGACCTTGGCTCACTGCAACCTCTGCCTTCCAGATTCAAGCAATTCTTCTGCCTCAGCCTCCCAAGTAGCTGGGATTACAGGCATGTGCCACCACCCCTGGCTCATTTTTTGTATTTTTAGTCGAGATAGGGTTCACCATGTTGGCCAGGCTGATCTCCAACTCCTGACCTCAGGTGATCCACCTGCCACAGCCTCCCAAAGTGCTGGGATTACAGGTGTGAGCCACTGTGCCTGGCCAGAAGGTATTTTAAATTTATAGGTGAAGCTGAAGTTGTTTGGGATACCTTATATGACCGTTTTAAGGTTGGGATTGGATTCCTTTCCAACAGAACACTTGATTATCATTAGAAATAGTTCAGCATCTTCTCCACCTCATGAAAGGGTTGTGTCTAGAAAACAATGTGGAAACTTCAGCAGGTAGAGGGCAAGTAGTTGGTCGAGGTCTGCAGGATGACATACAAGGTTAGGGACTTGGGTTGTGGAAAGTATAGTGGAGTCCAAGAGAGTTGATGAAAAGGAGTGGTTTTGTCTTCCTCTTCTCTTTTGCTGCTTGCTTAGATGTAAGAAACAGGGAGAGTGATGAGGTGAAGAGGAGTGGATAGCAGAAGCAGAAAGACAGGATTTTTCCTTTCCCTTTTTGTTACTATCTTTTTGACAGCAGACAAAGATCTATATCAGAAAGGGAGGAAATCCCTAACAGCACTGGGAAGGCAAAGGGACTTCATGGTTCCTAGGAAGCCCTCGGTGTTATAAGTATGCAGCATATGTGTCGGTAGGTGACAGATATTCTCTGTGTTAAAAGTTGGTCACATATGAAGCATGGCCTTAATACAAAAAATGAGGGGGGTGTGGTGGTGGGCGCCTCTAATCCCAGCTACTTGGGAGGCTGAGGCAGGAGAATTGCTTGAACCTGGGAGGCAGAGGTTGCAGTGAGCTGAGAACACACCATTGCACTCCAGCCTGGGTAACAGAGCAAGACTGTATTAAAAAAAAAATTAAAAAAATATAAAAGAAAAATGACCTTAAGTGGATTGCCACTGCTGACTTGGCTGGGCCTTTAGTCTGACTCCATATGAGATTTTTGAATTCTTCAACTCTGCTTCTTGTTTCTTTCTTTCTTTTTTTTTTTTTTTTGAGACGGAGTTTCGCTCTTGTTACCCAGGCTGGAGTGCAATGGCGCGATCTCGGCTCACCGCAACCTCCGCCTCCTGGGTTCAGGCAATTCTCCTGCCTCAGCCTCCTGAGTAGCTGGGATTATAGGCACGCGCCACCATGCCCAGCTAATTTTTTTTGTATTTTTAGTAGAGACGGGGTTTCACCATGTTGACCAGGTTGGTCTCGATCTCTCAACCTTGTGATCCACCCGCCTTGGCCTCCCAAAGTGCTGGGATTACAGGCTTGAGCCACCGCGCCCGGCCTCTGCTTCTTGTTTCTAAATACCAGTGCCCTACTTGATGTGGTGGCTGACACCTATAATACCAGCACTTTGGGAGGCCGGGGCAGGTAGTTTACTTAAGACCAGGAGTTTGAGACCAGGCTGGGCAACATAGTAAGACCCCATCTCTACAAAAATATAAAAATTAGCCGCACATGGTTGCCTGGGTACCAGGAGCCTGAGATGGGAGGATTCTTTGATCCTAGGAGGTCGAGGCAGCAGTGAGCTATGATCACATCACTCCAGCCTGGGAGACAAAGTGAGACCCTGTCTTAAAAAAACAAAAATACTGCTACCCCTGTGTGATAATTCAGGGGTCTTTTTCTTTCCCTCCAAGCAGAAAAGCTTGTTCCTTACTGACTAGATAGCATTTAAGGGATATATTAGAAACTTTTAAGCCAGAAAAAAATATGTATTTGAAATGACTGTTTCTGCCTGGACCTAGACTGTGTTATAGATTAGGAATCTGCTCCTGGAATCCTTAGAGTATGCAGATTCCTTCTCAAATCAGAGCTGTAAAAACATTACCGATTCACCATTTGGGAAACACTTTTTTCCCACTTGTTACTGGAAGCTCTGGTGGTCATGTTGATCCTCTGCTATGTTTTTCTCCCAAAGCCAAATAATCCTCTTTACAGACTTGGGGTTTCATGGACATCCTTATCACCCTTAGGTGATTGCGTACTCAGAACATCGGTACCGTATCTTTGGGGAGACCATCGATATTGCAGTGGGTAATTGTCTGGATCGTTTTGCTCGAGTGCTGAAGGTAAGCCAGTGGGGCTGCAGGGAACATAAAATGTGGGTGAATTTTAGGGAAACCATGGAGGTGGAGGGGGGAAATAGTCAATGAGTTTCTTATGCTTTCTGCATATCTGATTTCGTCCTCTTCCATTCACTTCTTCCTTATTTTATTCTTCTGCTAGATTTCTAATGACCCAAGTCCAGGATACAACATTGAACAGATGGCAAAGCGGTAAGGACATATGGTGGAAGCAGACTGGCTGCTGGTGCTTCAGGGATTTTCCCGTATACATTAACAAAATTTGGGAGGGGCTTTGGAGGGTGAGAAGCCAGGTGACTGTAGGCTTAGTGCCTGGTATACTCATTCCCACATAGCGGCAAGAAGCTAGTTGAGCTGCCATACACCGTAAAGGGAATGGACGTCTCATTCTCAGGGATCCTGTCTTTCATTGAGGTGAGTGTGAGAGAGGTGATGAGACAGGCACTTTCATGCTTTTTAAATAAAGCATATCTGCTTTGCTCACTGCCATATTTCATATAGCACAGTGTATTCATGTAGCACAGTGCTGGTCCATATCATGTGCTGAGTAGATTCATTTAGAAGGTACTTACTGAATATGTTTGTGTGCCAGGTACTGTTTTAGATAGTAGAGATGCAGCATGGAGCAAAACAAAAATCCCTGCCTACATGGAGTTTAGATTCTAAGTTAGGGAGCAGGGGAGATAAAAAGAAAGGAGAAAATAATGAAGTGTTAGATGGTGGTGAGTACAGGTGAAAAATTAAGCAGGGTAAAGGGTGAGAGATGCCAGGACAAGCATTCGAAAAGTAGTTATTGCATCTTAAATGAATACTGCTCATTCTATACTGTGATGCCAATTAAGGGAATGTGGGACAGGATGTGCTGGTAACTTGATTTGTGGGGAAACATGGTGATCCTCCGAGTATATTAATTTTTGCTCTCATGTAATCGCAAAACCATGATTTATTTATTTATTTATTGCCTGAAGTGAGAACAAAACGATTTGTCGATTCATTTGTTTTTCTCTTTAATTGTAGGATGTAGCCCATCGGATGCTGGCCACAGGGGAGTGTACTCCTGAGGATCTGTGTTTTTCCCTGCAGGTAATGAATTAAAAAGCTGAGACAGAAAGTTGGGGCTGGAGGAGCTTTTATGTAGTAGAGCAGAACCCAGCTGGGATGTCCCTCTGATCTTTTCTCCTTGTCTGTGCTCGACAGGAAACCGTGTTTGCAATGCTGGTAGAGATCACAGAGCGAGCCATGGCACATTGTGGCTCCCAGGAGGCCCTCATTGTAGGAGGAGTGGGGTGTACGTACTATTGAACGATGTTTCTCTTTCCTTTTCTTAGCACTGTACCTCTTCCTCTTGATACTCTAAATCATGAAGGGTTTGGGGTCTGCTTCCCAGTCCTTGCCCTGATCCCTTACATCATTGTTCTACAAGTAGGTGCACGTGATGTATTCTGCTGGACCATGAAGAGGTAGCTAAAACCAAGCTAATCCTGTTCCCTGCCTCTTTGTAGGTAACGTGAGGCTGCAGGAGATGATGGCGACAATGTGCCAGGAACGTGGAGCCCAGCTTTTTGCTACAGATGAGAGGTAAAGACACTTTCCCTTTCGTTTCTTTTTTACTTCTCATGTTCTTGTGATTTCCCACCCTTAGATGCCAATTTTCATATCTCTTTTGCATCCCAGATTCTGTATTGACAATGGAGCCATGATAGCCCAGGCTGGCTGGGAGATGTTTCAGGCTGGACACAGGACCCCCCTCAGTGATTCTGGGGTTACACAGAGGTGAGTGATTCACCTCTTGGTGAAGATAAATTATTGGGATGTAGACAAAAATCAGCAGGGAAGAGAGTACAGGAATATGAGGGCAGAGAAGAATGGAAGATGTTAAGGGCTAGTTCTCCACCTTGTTTTTTCTGTTTTTTCGCAGGTATCGGACAGATGAAGTAGAAGTGACCTGGAGGGACTAATGAGATTAACAGAATCAGAGTAGATAGTTCCCTATTTGGAACCCAAAGGACCCTGTGCGTCAATCTCTATCCTGATGTCGTGGGAGTCCTAGCAAAGCTATTGGAGTCCTTTATGGAACCCCAAGATGACTCAGCAATAAATTTTTTTTTTTTTTTTTTTTTTTTTGGGTTTTGTATGTTGGTGGTTGGGTGATGGTGTTCAGGACCAATATATAGATTTGGTGCTTGATAAATTCTTGTTGGAGGCTGCTGCTATGGAGCCAAGAATGAGGTATCCTTTTTTTTTTCCCTTTTGTTTTTTCTTTTTTTTTTTTTTTGTTTAATAAATGGAATCTTGCTGTGTTGTCCAGACCAGTCTTGAACTGGGCTTAAGCAGTCTTATCACCTCAGCCTCCTGAGTAGGCATGCCATTGTGCCTTGCAACAATAGTAATATAACTATTATTATTTCAGTATTAGGTCCTATGCTAACTGCTTTACATTCATTCTCTCATTTAAATTCTTTGAAGTAGATACTCAAGACTTCCCTTCAAATAGCCTGGAGGCTGGGTGCAGTGGCTCACACCTGTTATCCCAGTGCTTTGAGAGGTCAAGGCAGGAGGATCCCTTGAGCCGAGGAGTTTAAGCCCAGCCTGGGCAACATAGCAAGACACCATCTTTTCGAAAAATTTTAAAATTACCTGGGCATGGTGGTGCACTATAGCTCCCTGGGAGCAGTGGCTCAGTCACAGCTCACTGTAGTTCCCAGCTCCGAGGGAGGCTGAGTTGGGAAGACAGCTTGACCCCAGGAGTTTGATATCACAGTGATCTGCGATTCTGACACTGCATTCCAGCCTGGGTGACAGAACAAAACCTTGTCTCTTAAAAGCAAACAAACAGCCTAGAGATTGGTCTAATTTGTAACTCTAGAGTAAAACTGACTCTACTCCATATACTTTCCCCTACATGCACTTTTCCCTACATGAACAAAACAGTGATTCCACTGTTGTGTTCGCATCTACCTACCTTTTCTAACTCTAGCAGCTCTTCCACTGTGTTCTCTGAAACTGATAGCCAGTCATATGTCAAATTCTCTGTATCTCAGCCTCTTCTCTGAATGTTCTCTTCACATTCACGCTCTTCAGACTTGGTTTCTCACAAGGACTCTACTTGGCAGTGGTGATGTTTTCCCTCTTGCACCCATTGTACCATTGGGACTGGAGCTGGTGCACGTGTCCTCATTTTTTCTCATACTGTTTCCAGACCATTGTCCCTCATCCCTAGGGCCTTCTTGCTTTGAAACAAACTGCCACACGAACACCACTGTTGTCATAAATCTTGAGGATTTCAGTATTCAGGTAGATCATTGTAACACCACTTCACCCACTTATTTCTTTGGTTATGTTCTAGAGCTGCAGGTCCTCCACATCTCAGTTCAAATAGCCCACTTTCTGCTACCACCACCCCTATCTTTCCAGTACATTTTCGTTAGTATGCTAAATCCAGCAGTTCATCCCTTCACCAGGACCTATGGTCCACTGATCATGCTTCCTTTCACAGATTTTATCCCCCACGTGTTTTTATTTCCCTCCTTCCTTCAGCTAAATTTCCATAATCCGCCTCATTTCCTTTTCTCTCTTTTGCTTTTGACATATTCAACTGATCACCTACTTAAGACCCATGGAGCCGAAAGGGCTAGTAAAAAATAGCTATGCTGACTGATCTTTAAATTTATGACCATGACACTAAACTGGGTCCTTTATGACACCCATAAATAGTCCATTTCTCTAGTCCTTTCACTTGCCCGCTTTTCTAGTAACTCTTTCAGACCTTCTGTCCTCTCAAATCTCTAACTTATTCTACCCCTATTCTCTGACCTTGGTTCCTATTTCAGTAAGAAAACAGAAGCAATCAGTATACATTTACAGCCTTCTACCCTTGAAACTAACCACCTTCAAGCATCTGTACCCATGTCCTCTGCCTGCCTTCCTGTTACCATGAACCAGTGGTTCTCAGCCAGAACTGATTTTGCTTCTCAGAGGACATTGGATTGTCACCACAGATTAGAGGATACTTTACTGATTAGAAGTCAGGGCTGGGTGCAGTGCTTCACGCCTGTAATCCCAGCACTTTGGGAGGCCGAGATGGGTGGATCACTTGAGGCCAGGAGTTCCAGACCAGTCTGAGCAGTGTGGCGAAACCCTGTCTCTACTAAAAATACAAAAAATCAGCTGTGTGTGGTGTCACATGTCTGTAATCCCAACTACTCAGGCACAAGAATCTCTTGAACCCAGAAGGCGGAGGTTGCAGTGAGCCAAGATCATGCCACTGCATTCCAGCCTGGGTGACAGCAAGACTCTCTCAAGAAATAATTCTCCCTCTTTTCCTGGAGAGTTAGTATTTCCTTCTCTCCTGAATCTTGCCATGAGCACACAAAGATGCCACTGTTTTCCTCATTTTACAAATAATGCCCTCTTGACCCCATTTGCCCTTCCAGCTGCTTCCCATTACAGCAAAACTTAAAAAGCCTTGTCTTCAATTTCTCTTTAAAATCTCTACCAAAACTATTCTTAACATATTCACTAATGACTTGCACATAGCTATGTCTAATGACGTATTCTTCATCTTCAGAAGCTATCAGCAGCATTTGGCACTTCCTCTTTGAAACAGTTTCCTTACTTGGCTTTAGGATGCATTTTCTCGTCTGCCTCCTAGTTTACTGACTTCCCTTTCTTAGTCTCCTTTGCCAACTTCTCATCTCCACAGAGTTTAGTCCTCAGACTGCTCTCTTTACACATATACCTGCAGTGACTTCTAGTTGTATACATTAAAATCGTTTTGATGGGGGTGACTCCCAGTTACAGCTCCAACCTGGACTTCCATCCTAAATATCTAGCTGCCCATTGGCACCTCTACTTGGATGTTTAATAGGCATCTCGGCTGGGCGTGGTGACTCACACTTTTAATCCAAGCACTTGGAGGCCAAGGCGGGTGGATCACAAGGTCAAGAGATCGAGACCATCCTGGTCAACATGGTGAAACCCCGTCTCTACTAAAAATACAAAAATTTAGCTGGGCATGGTGGCGCGTGCCTGTAATCCCAGCTACTCGGGAGGCTGAGGCAGGAGAATTGCCTGAACCCAGGAGGCGGAGTTTGCGGTGAGCCGAGATCGCGCCATTGCACTCCAGCCTGGGTAACAAGAGCGAAACTCCGTCTCAAAAAAAAAAAAAAAGAAAGAAAAAGAAAAAAAAAAGGCATTTCAAACTTAACATACTCAAAATTGCACTTACTTCTCCAACTTAGTGCTGTCATCTTTCTTACTTCTGTTAATGACAACTCAATCCTTCTAGTTGTTCATGCCAAAGTATCTTTGGCAGTTTTATTTCTTCTTCTCCAGTTCATCAAATCCACTTGGCTCTACCTTCAAAGTATATCCAGAATTCCATTTCCATTCCATTTCTCACTGTAGATACTTGATCTACAGTGGCAGCAGCGGAAGTGAGGAGAAATGTGAGAATTCTGTATCTTCAGGATTATTGTTGTGGCTGGTCTTTCTCCTTTCACCATTGCTACTTAGAGTCAATTCTCCACATAGCAGCCAGAGTGAATAGTGTTAGCATGGAAACCAGATCAAGTTACTCTTCTGCTCAAAACACTCAAGTGTTTTCTTACATCACAGGAAGAACCAGAGTCTTTTTTAAAGGCCTGTGAGGCCCTCTGTGACTCTGCCCTTCCCCACCTACCACTTTCATCCACTACTCAATTCTTTGTTTGCTCAGCTCCACCAACACTAGCTTTTTTGTTGGCCTTTAAACACCACAGTTGTCCTCTGAGGTGGTAGCAGAGCATTGGGCACTTGGTAAATGCAGAGTTTGTTTTCTAGTCCAGTTCTGGTTTTTATGTCCCGATCTTCCCTTTCCTGTTCTCCCTGGAACTTGGAGAACTTGGGAGTTCCTGGGGCGCCATGGAGTCCCTACTTTCATTACTGAGCCAGTACGTGTCACAGTCCTCTGGCCCTGCTTGGATTGGAACATTGTTTGAGGCTGCTGGAGTAAGGATGCTGCCTGAGAAGAGAGAAGGAAAGAATGAGACAGACTCCTTACGCAGCTGAGCAATTGCTCCTTGTATTGTACCTCTCTTCCCCTAAGAGAATTACTGCTATTCCAGAGAAGGGTCACGTGGCTTCTCTCCGCATTGACTAACCACATTCCCTATTCATTTTCCTGGGTGCCTGCTTCTCTAACCCACTCTCCAACTCTGTTTTTCCTAAAACAGGACATGTTTTAGGATTGGTCTCCTTTCTGCTAAGTATCCATCCCTATGACATCCAAATATTCTGGGTTTACTGGGAAAAGTGGGGCTATATTTTGTGTTATAACACAAAATAATACTACCTTTCTACTAAGGATGCCCCAAATGTAAACTGGCAAGATGTGTAATATTAGAATTAGGGTGGTGCCGGAAACCCTTCTCTAGAATTGGACCGTAGCCCTTCCTGACCACACTCCAGCTCACCCTACTATGTTTTATCTTTTCATCAAAATTTCTCCCACCCCAAACATTTGGGGAGAACTAAACCTCAAGCAAATTCATTTCTCTCACGTCTGGTACCCAATTCTATCAGTCTTAGGTCTTGGTAACTCTAGATGAGTTCATGTGCCTCCCAGATTGTCTTTGAGAGCCAATTTCTATACCTCTCACACCGTGTCCTTCTCTTAGGCCCCTTTTCACTCACCTTGAGCTTGGTGTTGAGTAGCCAGGCTTAACCCTCCTGGCATCCTTACGAGGCTATGCCATCGTAGTAGTCAAAGGCATCACTTTATGGAGAGGAGAGAAAAGGAGATCTAGGAGGAAGAGATGAAGGAGTGGGAGTCTTTTTCCTGGGGTCACAGGCACTGCTGGGCAGCTGTGGGAAGCAAGGTCTTCACCATGATTATATTTCCTCTTTTTTCTGGTTCCTGACCATTTGTATGCCCATCTTATTCTTCTCTGTCTCATGTTTACGGTAGAATACCTATGTAATACTCGACAGCAGATATAGGCCCTTTCTGCCAATTTTGCTGATAACCCAGGACCAGTACATTGGACTTCATTTGGTTCAAACACGAGATCTGAAAGGAGAAGCAACTAGGAAAGAAGGGGATATGGTATGTTGGGTGAAGGGTGACCAGAAGACTCCCTTTTTCTCTACTACCCCTCCCAGAATTCGGGAAGCTACTTTCCTTCTGTGTCTGAGCAGATAGCCCTGCAGAGCTTCATGGTTCTTGCCGTGGGCTTTCCCAAAAAGCCAAAAGTCTGCAAGAGCCAGTCGTGTAGTATTAAAGAATCAAGTGGACCAACTGGGAACTGTGATAAAACTGGAGAGCACCTGCCTTGTCCCCTGGCGGGGGAGCTACTCAGCCCCAGCTAACTGTGTCTTATGGGATGGAGGCCCAGGATTAGCAGATGCCTGGGTCTTAACTGTTGGCAGTTTATTTTAAAAATTGTAAATGTTGTGCAATCAAAATCTAGATGAAGATTCCATTCCTTGGCTACCATTTTCAACCTCTGGTCTAGAGACTTCCTTACTGGAAGTTCTTAATGTGATCTTGCACATTGGTGAGGCTCACTGAGTAGGACAGTGCCACGTGATAGGTGTCTGCCTGGATTGAAGAGCCCCAGTTCACAACTGCGAAGAGGAAGGGGTGGTGCATCAATCGTCGGGTAGAAGAGGAAAGAGATTTTATTGTTGGTAGTTCTGGGCTTTTTGTGGGGGTCAGCCTCCTGTTGTAACTCACTTCCTGACTTCTTACTCACCCGCCTACTCACTCACCAGGTTTCTTATAGAGCAACAGCAGGAGGAACCTGCCACGTGAGGAGGAACATGATGAGCAGGCAGAGCAGAGAGCCCAGGAGGGAGAGCAAGGGACTTTACCTGCAGAAGGAAGGGCACCAGCCTGCAGGGAAGAGCAAATGCAGGCCCTTGTCCTGACCTCAGCACCACCCAGTCATGTACCCAAAGGATGCCCTCCCAACTCCTCAGATCTTTCCAGCCCTGGACCTTACCTCAACACCTGCCCACATTAACCAGGCAGCCAGGTAAGGTAGGTGTAGAAACAGCCAGAGTTGATGAGGACACAGGTGCAGAGCAGGAAGTTGGCGATGATGGGGGCAATGATGTTCAGCTCGGCTTTAGGGGAGATGAAAGGTCAGGAGTGAGTCTCCACACTAGTGTCATAAGATCCAGGTCTAGAAGTCAGGGACATCATTTTATGGCATTCCCCATTCTCTCTGTTCCCTTCTCCTTACTCCTTACATACCACCCCTACCACTGCAAGGTTTGGAGACATTTTCATCTTTTTAGGAAAACAGCGATAGAAAAGAGGCTTTAGGATCAGGTCCTAGAAGCCAGAGGTAGGGCTGGGAAGGGCATGAGAGGAATGGTGACTAACAGAGCCTGGTGTGGAGGGTGGGGTGGGGAATAAGGATGAAACCTACAGTAAGGAGAAAGCTGAGCAGATAGCTCCACAGAGGCTTGTGGTTCTTGCCATGGCCTTTCCCCTCCCCACCAAAAAGCCAATGACAGTATGTTTTATCGTGGTACAGCTGCTCCAGACACCATGCTCATGGCCTGAGGAAAAGGGCAGACAAGCAAAAATCAATGCATTCCTAAAACAATGCTTTCTACCCATGTTTCACCTAGTTTTCCCAGACTTAGAATTTATCTGCATCTTTGAAGGCTTTACCCCATTCACGTGAATCAAGCATCTATGCTATGCCAGGCAATGGGCAAGGCTTCACTCTCTATACTTCTCTGGTTCACTCACCTCGTAGTGACTAGAGAGCCCATAGAGACAGGACCCTTGCTCTCGACAACTGCTGAAATCCCAGCCATATTGGCACTTTGTGGCCAGGCAACTCCCATCTGCACACCCTTGTCAGTCCTATCTTCTGAAGCATCTTGAATCATATAGGAACCTGGAAATGAGATTGAGGATACACATTTCTTCATGGGAATAAAACCCCATCCCAAAGCAGGGCTGTCTAGGTACCACCAGTACCAAAAGGGGAAACGGAAGTGTTTATATGGCAGGGGTTGGGGGAGTAAGGAAATGACCAAGTTTGATAATCACAGAACACCATATAATTCATCGTAACAGATATGAGGGATGGGGGCAACATGAAGGGAGGAGTGGGAGTCACTACAGACTCACCAGCCTTGATGTTGCCTTTGCTGGAGAGGGCTGAGATAGACAACCCAGTGACAGTATGACTGAAGCCAAGAATAAGATAATGAGCCATGGGCACCCTGGGGTGAGGATGCTCCCTTCAGAAGAGCTCCCCAAAAACACCCCTGGAGCAAAGAGTTCTCACCTGCCTAGATCCCCAGACTTAGGGAACCATGAGCTCCAATCCATTACCTTGCCTTCTGTGACACAGCTGAAGTGCACTAGGGCCTTGCTGGTCCTGGCTCCAGAATTCTCCAGATCATCTTGGGAGTGTGGTTTGGTGTGGGGTTCCTCTGTTGAGGTGAACGTGGTGCTGTATCCTAGCTGAAACAGCACATACATAACAGACACCAAGACCCCTCGCTAGCCAGTGCATCTGCAACCAGAAGGATAGCTAATGGACTGGAGGGCAATCCCAGAGCTGTAATGGAAGGTGGTGGTAGCCCACATGCAGATTTTTTTTTGAGATGGAGTTTCGCTCTTGTTACCCAGGCTGGAGTGCAATGGCGCCATCTCGGCTCACTGCAACCTCCGCCTCCTGGGTTCAGGCAATTCTGCCTCAGCCTCCTGAGTAGCTGGGATTACAGGCACGTGCCACCATGCCCAGCTAATTTTTTGTATTTTTAGTAGAGACAGGGTTTCACCATGTTGACCAGGATGGTCTAGATCTCCTGACTTCGTGATCCACCCACCTCGGCCTCCCAAAGTGCTGGGATTACAGGCTTGAGCCACCGCACCCGGCCCACATGCAGATTTTATCCTACTTTCAGGAGTTCACTGTGGGACCTGGGTCTTACCAAGCTGCATGGAGCCATCCCAGGACTATGGAGTTGGCATAGCACTCGTAGCAGGGTCCAGGGTCCTCATCCTTGTAGGCAGTTGGTGAGCAGAGGCTGGCTTGGGGTATGACTCCACCAGATTGCAGTTCCTCCACCTCCTGGTGGGGGGTCAAGATGCTGGCCACATTGTCTTGCTGCGGGGAGGATATGAGAGGCATCTGAAATGTATGAACTGGGAAAGAAGGTGCAGAGCCTGGACACTATCTCCCCTTTTGCTGTCCAGGACAACCACAAACTGCCTCTCGATCATTTTGGAAAGTGCACCTGCTGGCTAGGCTCACCCAGGAAATGCTAGCTACTGAGAGTTGCTAGAGGTACCCCGGCAACAAATGGGTAAATAGAGACAGCTCTGAAAGTAGGAGGGGGTTCTTTGAGGGTCAGCCCACTTTCCAACCCTACCCCACCCTCCACATAAGCCCTTTCATCTGAATCACAAGGGACAATCATACCTCCTTCCTAAAGTCTGCCTGTGGAGTCAACCTATCTAGCCTGGGCCAGACATTTTACAGGCCAGGAAGTAGCCGCCCATGGCCTACTTCACTTCCCCAAGAGAAGGGAAAGGAAGTACATCACTGCTTCTTCCCCCAAATCCTTTCCCCAATATGATACTCAAAACTGTGGCACAAAGTGATTGTCTGGCTTTTAGGGGCTTTAGTCAAGCACTTGGTCTCAGGATGAGAAAAGAGGTGTCCTGGAGGGTGAGGGAGTGGCTGTTACTGACTGGCTGAAGCGGAATACCTGCATGCCCATAACCCATCCAGTCCAGGACTCTGTTCCCCACAGCATGCAGCTCAACCACACCTTCCAATGTCTGGTTCTTATCCGAGTGCCAAGATGAGAGTTAGAATTCCCCAGACTTTTCCAGAGACACAGGGTTGAATTTCAGGCTCTCACCCTGGACCCCACCTCTGGATAGAGAGGAAGCCCTGTGCTGGGGGTGAGATATCTAGGTCCATAGCCCTGATCCCTGCCCCTTCACTTTCCTCACTCCTCTGACTTCTATGGATAAGGCTGGGCTATGGTCACTTCTGGGTCTCAGCTTTTCCCTCCTGGGTCCTAGATTTTTTTTTTTTTCCAGACAGGGTTTTGCTGTCACCCAAGCTGAAGTGCAGTGGTGCAACCTCAGCTCACTGCAACCTCTGCTTCCTGGGCTCCAGCGATTGTCCCACCTCAGCCTCCTAAGAAGCTGGGACTAAAGGTGTGGCCCACCATGCCCAGCTAATTTTTGTATTTTTTGGTAGAGATGGGTTTTCACCATGTTGCTCAGGCTGGTCTCAAACTCCTGGCCTCAAGTGATCCATCTGCTTTGACCTCCCAAAGTGCTGCGACTACAGGCATGAACCACCACGCTCAGCTAATTTTTGCATTTTTTGGTAGAAATAAAAAATCTTGGGTTTCATCATGTTGCCCCCGCTGATCTCAAACTCCTGGGTTGGAGTGACCCACCCACACCATGCCTCCCAAAGTGCTAGGATTACCAGGAAGAGCCACCATGCCTGTCCAGGTCCCAGCTTTTTTTTTGTTTTTGAGACAGAGTCTCACTCTGTCACCAGGCACCAGGCTGGAGTGCAGTGGCGCAGTCTCGGCTCACTGCACCCTCTACTTCCCGCGTTCAAGCAATTCTCCTGCCTCAGCCTCCCGAGCAGCTGGGACTACAGGCGTGCACCACCATGCCCAGCTAATTTTTTTGTATTTTTAGTAGAGATGGGGTTTCACTATGTTGGCCAGGATGGTCTCGATTTCCTGAACTCGTGATCCGCCCGTCTCGGCCTCCCAAAGTGCTTGGATTACAGGCGTGAGCCACCGCACCCGGCCCAGGTCCCAGCTTTATCATGCACAGAAAGGTCAACAGCCAAAGCCCAGTCCAGACTCTTTGCCTAACCTTTCCAGCCCACTCTGGTGAGCACAGCCCTTCCGGCCTTGGGTTCATTCTCCTCATTCTCCTTAGTTTTCTAATTTGCCTAGCTCAGCACCCTTGTATGACCTATAGGTGGGAGGGTGGGGGTGTCAATCTGGGAGGGAGCCCAGGGGATTGGGTGTCGGAGTTAGGACACCAGGTGCCAAGTGCCTAGCCAGCCACCACCAGCTATAATTAGCCCCGTGGGGCCACTGGCTGTCTGGGATGCCATGTGGGCAAGTTCCCTCTGCCACACAGCCCCAAGCACAGCAGGGGCTCAAGTAAGAGGGCAAGTGGAACACTGGTGTCTCCTGAGGGTGACTAAAAGGATGGGGGCAATAGGGGAGGAGTGTGGTACTGGATCTTTACATGGCTTCTTGCATGTTTTGTTGCACCGTTTGTATCCCATAGTTGTCCTGTATGTCCCTGATACTCCAGTGTTGGGATGTGGCTGGGGGTAGGAGGAGGGTGTTGGAGCAGGGGAGAGACTGACATTTTGACCGGCTGGAGACATGGTTCCTCTGGCCTCTCTGGGTCCAGCTCTGACACTAGGCTGTCTTGCCTCTGCTCATCTGCAGCTATCCAGCAAACCCCGGCATGAGCCTCTCGGACACCCCGCATTATCCTTCCCAGCTGGAGAGTCTCTCTCTTCCAGTCCAGGACTGCCTTGGACTCCCCGTGCACGCCCAGAGAGCCGCTTCCTGGCCTTCCTCCCCCAACGAGGATCCCAGTTTGCCTTCTTTTCCTCTGGAAGAGCCTGGCCCCAGGCCCCTGGTTCCAGGGAACCTCCCCTTTTCAGCCTTGTCCCTAGAGGAAGAAGAGGAAGAGGATGAAGATGAAGACGAGGCGGAGCCCGAGTGGCTGCGCAGCGAGGAGCATCCGAGCCAGTTTTTCGCCGAGGCCCAGCGGCTGCGGGAGCAGAGATTGTTGCTGGACGAAGAGGTGTCAGTCGCGGGGCGGGTATACGGGGTGCATAGGGTGATCCTGGCCGCAGTCAGCAGCCTCTTCCGAGACAGGCTGCTGGGCGGTGGAGGTCCGCGGCCCCCCTTCAGCCTCGAGGTGTCCCCAGGGGGATGGGAGGCCGTGCTGACCTTTGCCTATGAGGGAGTGCTGGGCCCCGCCCCGCAGGGGGATGTGCTGGCGGCAGCCGAGGCGCTGGGAGCGCCCCGGGTGAAGGCTGCTGCCCTGCGGAGATGCGAGAGGTCTGGAAATGCCCTGGAAGATGTAAAGAAGCCCAGCCAGGCAGAGGAGCTGAGGGAGAACCTGCGGGGAATCGAGCTCCTCTACCGAGAGGGCGTCGGGTGTGACTTGAAGCTGGAGGCAGGCGGCTGCCAGCTGCAGGGTGAGAGCCTGTGGGCATTAAATTACTGCAGGTGCATATGCTGCCGGAATGGTGTGTGCCAAGCTGCAGGTGGTTTGATCCCCACCATGATGGTTTCGATCCCTGCTGCTGTCAGAATTTCCCTGGGATGGCCTTTGGTGCCTCTCCTGCCTCACCGAGAGCTGAGCATGCGCAGTTGAGTTGTTTTCTAGGCGAGCTGACAAATTTAAACTGACCCTCTGTCTGGCTTTTCCTGTGTCCAGTAACAAGGAATTTCCAGCCAGCTGGCTAGAGCTAAGGGTATAATCCATGGCAGTAGAACAAGCAGAAAGTGGATTGACTCAAACAGAAATTAACCAAAGGCCCTTCTTGGCATCTTCCATTCGGGACACAGGAAAGACGGGAACATGGTGGAAAACTCAATGTGTCCTTTCACCTTGGTATGCTTGACACCATGGCTGACTCACAGGCCCTGCAACTAATGAGCAAGTTCTGGTACTGTTTAAGGTTACCAGGTCAGGGCACTTTTTTTTTTTTTTTTTTCTTTCCCCCTCTGAGACAGAGTCTCACTCTGTCACTCAGGCTGGAGTGCAGTGGCATGATCTTAGCTTACTGCAACCTTCACCTCCTGGGTTCAAGTGATTCTCCTGCTTCAGCCTCATGACTAGCTGGGATTACAGGCACCTGCCACCACGCCTGGCTAATTTTTTTGGTATCTTTTAGTAGAGATGAGGTTTTACCAGGTTGACCAGGCTGATCTAGAACTCTTGAACTCAAGTGATCCACCTGCCTCAGCCTCCCAAAGTGCTGGGATTACAGGCATGAGCCACCGTGCCTCGTCTGGCCATGGCACTTTGAAGTTAACCCTGCTCATCACCAGGAAAGCTAAGTAAGGTTGTATAAGTTGAGTGTTATTCAGAGTCTGTTAACATTTAGTGAGGCAATGAGTGCCTGAAACTTTTACACGTGACATCTCTTAATTTTCACTGAAAGCTAGTGAGGTCAATATCATTATCTATAGGTGCAAATAAGGAACATTAAATTCAGAGATGTTGACTTGCGACAACAAGGATACAAGTCCACATTACTAGTCCAATCTGCTTCCACTAGGCCATGCAATGCCTCCTATGCCATTATTATGAGACACCACAGGACCTAGAAAATGAAGTTGGAATGTGGACACATGAAAGTTAAAAGTTACAAAGGATTAGTTTAGAGATTATCTAGTTCCGCTCTTGCACTTCACTGATGAAGAAATCAGAATCCAGGCCGGGCACAGTGGCTCATTCCTGTAATCCCAGCACTTTGGGAGGCCAAGGCAGGTGAATCATGATGTCAGGAGATCGAGACCATCCTGGCCAACATGGTGAAACCCCGTCTCTACTAAAAATATATAAAAATTAGCTGGGCGTGGTGGCACACGCCTGTAGTCCCAGCTACTCGGGAGGCTGAGGCAGGAGAATTGTTTGAACCCAGGCGGCGGAGATTGTAGTGAGCTGAGATCGTGCTACTGCACTGCAGCCTGGGTGACAGTGCGAGACTCCATCTCAAAAAAAAAAAAAAAAAAAAAAAAGAAAAAGAAAGAAATCATAATCCAAGACTTGTCCAGAGTCACATAGCTACTGCTCATTAGAGGAGTGACTGGGATCTAAAGCGCTTCTGGGACTCCTAGAAGGAAAACTACTCCAAAAGTCTTTATTTTCATTTCTGATAGCACTAGATGGAGGGGTGATTTAAATGTTTGTAATTATAAAATTCTCACTAGGCTTTTGAATTTAAGCATACTTGTATCATTCCTTTTATTTCCCTAGGAAACATTCCTACTTAATGGTTGGGAACCTGTTACTTAAAATCCTAGGGAATAGTAACGAGTAAGAGGTGACTACAAGTGATTGTGAGCCCTTTCAGGTTTGAACTACAGGTTGATTGATGATATAGAAGCTGAGATGGCTTAGCTTGTTTTGAGGAATGTAGATGTTCTCAGACAATATATATTTGAAGTCTATCACTGATGCTTACTACTTGGAAAGTACCAGTCGACTACCTACTGCTTAAAGGACAATGGAAAGTCATATGAACACCACCTGCCCTTTGGGAGAGGTACACATGCCACAGTTGGTCAAGGCAACATGGAGTTCTTAAACAGCTTGGGCCTCTGTGACCTGCCTATAAGGACTTCTAGCAGCATTCCTACCCACCTTTTTATTATAAAGCAATTTCCAAAGCAAAGAATAAGATGAACTCTCAAACACCCATTGCCCAGACTTAACAACTGTTTACTATATTTATTTCATCTGTTTATTTTATTTTTTGTTGAAGTTTAAAGGAAATTCATAAAATTTTACTCATAAGTATTTGAGTATGCATCTCTTTAAAAGAGGACAATTCTGTGGGACTAGGTATGAAAGGAAAAAAGCAAAAAGGACATTTTATCATAATCATAATACCTTTATCATGCACAACAAGATTAATAGTTATTTATTTATTTAGGGACAGAATCTTGCTGTGTTGCCCAGGCTGGAGTACAATGGCATGATCTCAACTCACTGCAACCTCCACCTCCTAGGTTCAAGCGACTCTCCTGTCTCAGCCTCCTGAGTAGCTGGGATTACAGGCATGAACCACCACATCCAGCTAATTTTCATATTTTTAGTAGAGATGGGGTTTTACCATGTTGGCTTGGCTGCTCTCAAACTTCTGACCCCAGGTGATCCACCTGCCTCAGCCTCCCAAAGTGCTGGGTTTACAGGCATGAGCCACCACATCTGGACAGTAATTTCTTTTTCTTTTTTTTTTTTTTTTTTTGAGACAGAGTTTTGCTCTTGTTACCCAGGCTGGAGTGCAATGGCGTGATCTCGGCTCACCGCAACCTCTGCCTCCTGGGTTCAGGCAATTCTCCTGCCTCAGCCTCCTGAGTAGCTGGGATTACAGGCACGCGCCACCACGCCCAGCTAATTTTTTGTATTTTTAGTAGAGACGGGGTTTCACCATGTTGACCAGGATGGTCTCGATCTCTCGACCTCGTGATCCACCCGCCTCGGCCTCCCAAAGTGCTGGGATTACAGGCTTGAGCCACTGCGCCTGGCCTTGGACAGTAATTTCTTAATATCACCTAGTCCACATTTATATTTTCCCAGTTGTCCAAAAAACATTTTTTAGAATGAGTTTGTTCAACCCAGGAATTAATCAAGGACTATGCTATTCTCAGTTGTATGTCTCTTAAGCTTCCTTTAATCCAGTACAGTCCTCCTTCCCCTTTTTTATTACTTGATATATCGATTGGTAAAAACAGTAATGTATAAGATTGGTTATCCTGGGCCTGGTGTGGTGGCTCACGCCTGTAATCCCAACACTCTGGGAGGCCAAGGCAGGCAGATCAGTTCAAGTTCAGCCTGGCCAACATGGCAAAACCCTTTCTTTACTAAAAATACAAAAATTAGCCAGGCATGATAGTGCGTGCCTGTAGTCTGCTACTCCGGAGGCTGAGGCACGAGAATCGCTTGAATCCAGGGGGTGGAGGTTGCAGTAAGCCAAGACTGCACCACTGCACTCCAGGATGGGCAATAGAGTGAGACCCTATCTATAAGAAAAAAGAAGGTTATCCTATAAAATGCTCCATTTTCTAGATTTGTATATTTTTCTTCCCCTTGTGGTTTTGTCTAACTTGTTCCTTTAGGCTTTCAACTTCCTATAAACTTGACTGTAGATCTAAAGAGTTGAATAGATTCAACTTAAATATTTTTGGCCACAATAATCCATAGGTGATGTGGAGTATGAGGTTTTTTTTTGTTTTTTTTTTTTGAGACGGAGTTTCGCTCTTGTTACCCAGGCTGGAGTGCAATGGTGTGATCTCGGCTCACCGCAACCTCTGCCTCCTGGGTTCAGGCAATTCTCCTGCCTCAGCCTCCTGAGTAGCTGGGACTACAGGCACGCGCCACCATGCCCAGCTAATTTTTTGTATTTTTAGTAGAGACGGGATTTCACCATGTTGACCAGGATGGTCTTGATCTCTTGACCTCGTGATCCACCCACCTCAGCCTCCCAAAGTGCTGGGATTACAGGCTTGAGCCACTGCACCCGGCTGAGAGTATGAGGTTTAATTGTATAACAGTACATGTTAATAGGACAGTTTCATTGTCATAACCAAGGCATTGGTACACAAGCATGCTTACTGAAGCCTGACATCAGTGACAGTGGATGGAGATGATCTGCCCAGATGGAAATGGAAAATAAATCACGTCCTTTCTCTAGGATTCAACTCAGTTTTTAATTTTTATTTATTTATTTATTTATTTATTTATTTATTTAGAGGTGGAGTCTTGCTCTGTCATCCAGGCTGGAGTGCAGTGGCGCAGTCTCAGCTCATGCAACCTTCACTTCCCAGGTTCAAGTGATTCTTCTGCCTCAGCCTCTAAGTAGCTGGGATTACAGGTGCCTGCCACCATGTCCAGCTAATTTTTGTATTTTTTTAGTAGAGACAGAGTTTCACCATGTTGGCCAGGTTGGCCTTGAACTCCTGACCTCAAGTGATCCATCTACCTCAGCCTCCCAAAGTGCTGGGATTATAGGCATGAGCCATCTCGCCCAGCCAGTTCCCTTATTTTAAAGGGAATAATTGAATTAGGTTATTTTGAAGGTCTCAAGTTTCAGATCTCATGATTCTATAAATTATAACAAGATCAGGAGAGGGTTATGCAGAGAAAAGCTGAGACAAATGGAAAACATTAAAGACTAAATCTTGCCGGGCACGGTGGCTCACGCCTGTAATCCCAGCACTTTGGGAGGCCGAGGCGGGTGGATCACGAGGTCAAGAGATCGAGACCATCCTGGCCAACATGGTGAAACCCCGTCTCTACTAAAAATACAAAAATTAGCCAGGCGTTTGGCACGCGCCTGCAGTCCCAGCTACTTGGGAGGCTGAGGTGGAAGAATTGCTTGAACCCAGGAGGCGGAATTTGCAGTGAGCTGAGGTTGCGCCACTGTGCTCCAGCCTGGCAACAGAGCAAGACTCCGTCTCAACAAAAAAAAAAGAAAAAAGAAAAAAAAAAAAAGACTAAATCTTAGGCAAGAAGAGACAGTAATTAGATGAAGTTGGATTACAGCCATTCCCAAGTGGTGCCACTTTCCCAGCAAAATCTAACAGAATAGTTGTCAGTTTTGGTTCTGGAAATTGTAAATAATTTTATTTTGTGCACAACATAGAGAGACCTATATAAGTTGCATGTTGGTCTTTTCCATTTATTTTGTGCCCCTCTTAGCAGATGCTTCTCAACTTGATCCATTCAGATTTTTTTTTCTAACTGACCTGACCGACAGGACTAAAGCAATATTTATTAAAGTGTCTTTAGGCCACTAACATGAGAATCACATAGGGTTACTTGAAGTGTTAAAATACAAATTTCTGGAGTCTCCATCTAGAACTGTAGCATCAGAATCTCTGGGAGTGGGCTGCTGAAACCCACATTTTAACAACTACTCATGGTATTCTGATGCACACCACAGTTTGGCCTGTAGCGGTGGGTGGCTTGAAGGGCCATAACTGGAGGTGCCAGGTTGGGGTAATGCCTATAGATCTTGCAACACTTTGAGTCCTCCTCTATTTCTTCTGCTCTCCTACAGTGCACCGAGCAGCCCTGGCCTGCGGCAGTGAGTTCTTTGGGGCCATGCTCCTGAGCGGGATGAGGGAATCCAAGGGCACAGAGGTGTCTCTGCGGACCATCTCCACCCGGGACCTGCGACTCCTTGTCTCTTTTGCTTACTCTGGAGTTGTGCGGGCAAGGTGGCCAGGACTACTGAGAGCTGCTCAGGCTGCTCTGCAGTACCAGAGCTCTTCCTGCCTGGATTTGTGTCAGAAAGGCTTGGCACAGGGCCTCAGCCCCGCCCGTTGCCTGGCCCTGTTCCCCATGGCAGAAGCCCCTGGGTTGGAGAGGCTCTGGAGCAAAGCCCGTCACTACCTCCTCACCCACCTGCCTGCTGTAGCCTTGTGCCGTGCTTTCCCTTCTTTGCCAGCTGGCTGCTTGGCTGAGCTCCTGGATAGTGATGAGCTCCATGTGCAAGAGGAGTTTGAGGCCTTTGTGGCTGCACGGTGTTGGCTAGCTGCCAACCCCGAGACCCAGGAGTCCGAGGCCAAGGCCCTGCTGCAATGCGTCCGCTTTGGCCGCATGTCCACCAGGGAGCTGCGGAGGGTGCGGGCAGCTGGGCTACCTCCACCCCTGACCTCAGATCTGTTGCACCAGCTGATGGTAGAGGCTGATGTTCCAGGCCAGGAGAGACGGAGGGAGCCTGACCGGGCACTGGTAGTGATTGGCGGGGATGGGCTGAGACCAGACATGGCCCTAAGGCAACCATCCCAAGCAGTGTGGTGGGCCCGAGCCTTCCGCTGTGGCATCGGACTTGTACGAACTGTGGAGTGGGGGCAGCTGCCTGCCCTGCCTGCCCCAGGACGCTTCCGGCATGGGGCTGCGAGCCTGGCAGGAAGTGAACTCTATGTGTGTGGTGGACAAGATTTCTACAGTCACTCCAACACCCTGGCTTCAACTCTCAGGTATGAGCTTCTAAGAGTGGGCAGGATGTGGTAGGCCCCAAGGTGGGCAGGGAGAGAAATTGCTGGCCTAGCCAACCACACAGAGTCACTCTTCTTGCCTATGTCCAGGTGGGAGCCCAATCAAGAGGATTGGGAGGAGATGGCTCCTTTGTCCCAGGCTCGAAGCTTTTTCCCCTTGGTGGCACTGGATGGACAACTTTATGCCCTAGGCGGAAGACAAAATGGTGTTGCCCTGGACTCTGTGGAGACCTACAACCCTGAGCTCGATGTCTGGAGGTGAGCAGGAAAGGGAGAGATTAGGAGACTCGGAATAGAAGGAGATTTGAAGATGCTAGTTGCCTTCTCTTGTCCTGTTTTCCCTTAGGCCAGCACCTGCACTTCCAGCACCATGTTTTGCCCATGCAGCTGCCATTTTGGAGGGCCGATTGTATGTGAGCGGTGGCTGTGGTGGGACTGGCCAATACCTGGCCTCACTGCTGCACTATGACCCCAAACTTGAGAAGCCAGGGACATTTCTGAGCCCTATGGGGGTACCTCGGGCTGGCCATGTCATGGCTGCACTGGGTGGGCGGTTGTATGTGGCAGGTGGGTTGGGTGAGACTGGGGACCTGCTGAGTTTTGAGGCCTATGAACTAAGGACTGATAGCTGGACTCACCTGGCACCTCTACCTTCCCCCCATGTGGGGGCTGCAGGTGCTGTGCTGCAGGGGGAGCTGCTGGTGCTGGGGGGCTACAGTCACCGTACTTATGCCCTCTCCCACCTTATCCATGCCTACTGTCCTGGCCTGGGCCGATGGCTTTGCCTGGGAACTCTGCCAAGGCCCCGGGCTGAGATGCCTGCCTGCATCCTGACACTGCCCACTGTGCAGCACACAGCTTTGGTTCCCACCCTGCACCAAACCAAGCCTGCTGGGTGAAGAGGGAGCAACAATGTATGGGGGAGGAAGGTGTAAGAAATCGTCTGGGAGAAGGACAGAGATTATGCGAGAGAAAGAGAAGGTTTTATTCTTGGCAGTGGTTTATTCTCATGCTGTGCATTGTAAACTGCTTTTGTACATCTGATCTCCATTGAGGAAATGGTGGTTCCAGAACTCCTGGGGAGAGCATATTGGGGAAGGGGAGGCAGCTGAATATCCAGGTAAGGAAAGGAGAGCCAGGAGCAACTCCACAAGGCTGAGGGATTCTTTGGAGGGAAAGTGCATCTGGTTGGAAAGAGAGTTAAGAAGCTTCAGTAGCCAAAGAGTAGCGATCATGAGAGGACAGTTGGGTAAATGATTCTGACCCATGGATCAAGGGAAAAATGAGGAATGGCCATTCATGAAAGAGTTTGAGGAGTGTGAGAGGAAGGACTGTAAATCATTCAGCTCTTTTGTCCCCAGAACTTGCTCCTTTCTCCTCTCCCATCCCATCCCTGGGATGCCTAACCCTTCTTTTTTTTTTTTGAGACGGAGTTTCGCTCTTGTTGCCCAGGCTGGAGTGCAATGGCGCGATCTCAGCTCACCACAACCTCGGCCTCCTGGGTTCAGGCAATTCTCCTGCCTCAGCCTCCTGAGTAGCTGGGATTACAGGCACACGCCACCATGCCCAGCTAATTTTTAGTATTTTTTAGTAGAGACAGGGTTTCACCATATTGACCAGGATGGTCTCGATCTCTGGACCTCGTGATCCACCCGCCTCGGCCTCCCAAAATACTGGGATTACAGGCTTGAGCCACTGCGCCCGGCATAACCCTTCTTAACAGTATTCTTTCTCAGGTAATTTTGTAGGCCTGGTCTAGTGTTTCCTAGCTGAGACACCACAGGCCTCCCCTGAGAGCCTCTTGGTTTCCTTCTGAGGCAGAAGCTCCCAACCGGACATGGACGGCACAGCAGCCTGAGAGGCCTGATGGGTCCTCCAGGGCCATGTGACGGGAGTGGTGTGTCAGGGAGATGAGCGGGGCAGAGAACAAGGAGGGAGAGGCCCACAGCGGAAAACAGATGATCTGAGATTTGAGGAGATGGGATGGAAGAAGTCAGAACGCTGTCTGGTTTCTTTCTTTCCCTTTGGGCAATTTGAGGAATCAGTAGTGAAAACGAGACCATTGTTGTGTGAGGTCTCAAGTGGTAAGAGGATGTGGCAGAGAGAAGAATGAGAAGCAGACAAGACTCAGGAAACTCATTTCCCCCTTTCAGTCCCTTTCCCCCAGGCTTATTTTTAAATTCATTTCCCTTTTTCTTGGCCAGGGAAGGTGGTCAGATGCATCCTCTTTCTTTTTTTTTTTTTTTTTTTTTTTTTGAGACGGAGTTTCGCTCTTGTTGCCCAGGCTGGAGTGCAATGGCGCGATCTCGGCTCACCGCAACCTCCGCCTCCTGGGTTCAGGCAATTCTCCCGCCTCAGCCTCCTGAGTAGCTGGGATTACAGGCACACGCCACCATGCCCAGCTAATTTTTAGTATTTTTAGTAGAGACGGGGTTTCACCATGTTGACCAGGATGGTCTCGATCTCTCGACCTCGTGATCCACCCGCCTCGGCCTCCCAAAGTGCTGGGATTACAGGCTTGAGCCACCGCACCCGGCCAGATGCATCCTCTTTCTCTCTTCCTCCATCTTGCTCTCCCCACTATCCCTCTTTTTTTTTTTTTTCCCTTCTTTCTCTTCTTTCTCCTTCACACAGTTATTAATCACCTACTTTGTGGCAGGCACTGTAGGAGGCACCAAGGATACAGTGGTCACAGAGCACCTGACCAGCAGATAGACGTAAACAAATACAAGTTTTGAGTGGACTTAGACATATGGACAAGTCTTGTAAGAGCCCAGAGGATAGAGCAGGGAACTCTGCCCAGAAAGGGCTTCTGTTAGGGAAAGTGTCATCCAATGAGTGTATTTTGAACTGAGTCTTAAAGGCTGCCTGGAGTCTCCCCCATTAGAGAAGAGGGAATGCATCTGAAACACAAAGTGAGGCATGCCATACCCTGTTTCTCCATAGCAAAGGGGAAATTGGTGTTCCAGAGGTTCTTCAGATAATTCTGCTGCTCTTGCCACCTAGCCTCTTCTCTGGAGCCTTCCTGAGGATAACGGCTTTCACTTAATGACTTTGTATTCCCGCCCTCTGCCACTCACCTGTATCCTTCTTGTCTGCTGTTTTCATTTCTGCAGCCTGGACAGCTGAGAGCAAAAAAGGGTCAGGTTTTTTTGTGTAGGCTGATTTTCTATTACCATTGTTTATTAAGATTTTCGTGTTTCTAAGAGTGATGATGGAGCCTCCCTTGCACCCTTCTTCATTCTGGCCCCAGAATTACTTGACATGCATTTTATTTATTTATTTTTAGATTTTGTTATTTTAGTAAGGATTTTTCTGTGTCTCTATTTAAGCTAGACTAGGAATGTAGTCGCAAATGAGAAGGGGTAAGTAGGACGTGTAAGAGAAAAGAAAGGGAAGAAGGAAGAAAGGGAAGAAGGAAATTGAAGAAGATGCGAAGCTATAATAATTGGATGAACTTCTATGAACATTTTTGTGATTTGTACCTAAAGACAGGCTTAAATAAAGGTTTCACAGTGATTGAATCTTTCTGAGTTTGTCTACTATAAAAAGCATTCAAAATAAAATTCCCTGTAATCTGCCTTCTATCTCTACCACGATTGAAATCATCTCCCTCCACTGTCACTGTGACCTACTTCTTACCAAATCTAACAATCCGTGGCCATCTTCATTCTCTTTCATCTTTCTGCAGGAACTGACTGGCTTCAAAACTGGCTTTTACCCTTAAAGTTTCTCTTCTCCTGGCTTTAGATATAGCACACTCTCCTGGATGGACCTTCTCTTATTTCTCGTAAGCCATATCAAAGTGTCCAAGCAGGTATGGCTTCGTCCCAAGTGGAGCTGATAGCCAAGGATTCACAGGTATGTGGATGAGGGTGGTTCATTGCAGAAAGTTCTTTCATTATTTATCTTTAAAACTGCATATCCTCAGTAGTAAGAAGAGAGGAGATCTCTGACTTGAAGGAGGACCCTAGTCAATAGTCCATTCATCAGTGAGAAGGGACTGAATATAGGCAAGGTGACAGGCTGGGGCTTCAGCCAGGTGGACTAAGAATAGGGTAATATCGGCCGGGCGCAGTGGCTCAAGCCTGTAATCCCAGCACTTTGGGAGGCTGAGGCGGGTGGATCACGAGGTCAAGTGATCGAGACCATCCTGGTCGACATGGTGAAACCCCGTCTTTACTAAAAATACAAAAAATTAGCTGGGCATGGTGGTTCGTGCCTGTAATCCCAGCTACTCAGGAGGCTTAGGCAGGAGAATTGCCTGAACCCAGGAGGTGGAGGTTGCGGTGAGCCAAGATCGCGCCATTGCACTCCAACCTGGGTAACAAAAGTGAAACTCTGTCTCAAAAAAAAAAAAAAAAAAGAATAGGATAATATCAGGGTAGCATTTCAACCCCAGTAGGGATATGGAGTGAGAAGTAGGAATTGGGACAGAAACCATGCATACAGACTGGGCACCTGGCAAGGCTAGTTTGATGGCTGTGTAGAGGCCCGGGATTCTTACCTTTGGTGAATCAGATAATAAGCCAAGGTGTCCTAGATGCTCTCTAACAGCTCCTTCTACACTCTTCTCTTAACCCCCTTTTTTGGTGAGGGTGAAATTTCTGTTACCTCTCTTATCTTTCCAAGATTGACTCAGTTACTAAGTAGGACTGAACGTACAGGTTGTTTATGTAGTACAAGTAAGTGTGTGGGACTCTATCTCTTGTCTCCTGTGCCTAGTCCTGGGTTGCTTATGTTCCTCCTTTCCTTTGCTTTATGCTCCCTATTAGGAAGCTCACCTCTCCTCTGTCTCCAACCTTGATGATTCACTTGGGTTCCAGTCTGATTTTTTTCAGTCCCTCCATTTAGATGTACCATTATCCTTAGTTCAGATTCATCATGCTTTATTGGCACTATCATTTCCCTGTTTCCTGGACCTGAAGCTTTGGAATCATCTTGAGCTTATTCTCCCTTACCTTTTTTTCTTCACTTGACTCATCATGTAATACTGGACTGCCGAAGTAAAAACTGACTTAGTCTCTTCTCCCAATCTTTTCTATGTTGAGTATAATATATATGGAAAATTTTTAGCTGGGAGTGGTGACACACACCTGTAATCCCAGCTACTTGGGAGGCTGAGGCATGAGAATTGTTTGAACCGGGAGATGGAGGTTGTAGTGAGCTGAGATTGCACCACTGCACTGCAGCCTGGGTTACAGAGTGAGACTGTCTCTAATTAATAATAATGATAATATATGAAAAATTGATAGCAAGGAAGGTTTCTTAAAAAAATAGAAGGGCAAAGGCTGGGCGCGGTGGCTCACGCCTGTAATCCAAGCACTTTGGAGGCCAAGGTGGACAGATCACCTGAGGTCGGGAGTTCAAGACCAGCTTAACCAACATGGTGAAACCCCTTCTTAAAAAAATAAAAAATAAAAATAAAAATAGAAGGGCAAAAGTTATATGAAATTCTTGGTTTCACTAGCTGCGAAACCAAGAATCATTATTTACCTGGACAGACACTCTGGGTTGTAGCAGCAACAATGCCCAATCAAAAGAATGAAAAACTGCCAGGCACTGTGCTACATGCCCATAATTCCAGCTACTTGGAAGGCTGACATGGGAGGATCACTTGAGCCCAGGAGTTTGAGTCCAGCCTGGACAACATAGTGAGAATCCCATAAATAAAAGAAAAATTTCATAGAAAGATTAATAGAATTATAGAATGGAGAGGTTTCAGAGATCATGTGATTCAAACATTTTGTTACACAGCTTTAGGAAATAAAGTATGTGGTACACAGTCTAGATAATGAAGAGGAAGGCTGTTCATGAAAGCAGTCTCTCATGTACACAAGGACCAACAGGCAGGCTAAGCCAAACATTACAGGTTAGGTCTACAGACAGGACAGTCATAATTACTCTTTCAGGATCACACACTACATTCTAAATCCTGTCTAGCCCTTGAGATCAAGGGGCCCTAAGTGGAAATTTATCACAGCTCCTGGTAAAACACCTACCAAAAATATTATAGATAGATAGATACTTATGTGTAGATATAAACATACATATATATCATTAGTGATAAGATTATAGTCTTATTCTCCGAGAGAGAAATGATTATGGTATTATTACTATAGCTGGTTCAGAATATAATAATCTGTATTTCCTATTTGATATGTTTTAGATCTGTGTCCCTGCACATATCTCATGTCAAATTGTAATCCCCAGTGTCGGAGGTGGAGCCTGGTGGGAGGTGATGGCTCATGGGAGTGGTTTCTCATGAAGGATTTAGCACCATTGGATATCTTCTGATAGTGAGTTTTCTCGAGATCTTGTTTAGAAGTGTCTAGCATCCCCTCCCTCGCTCTCTTCTTGCTCCTGCTCCTGCCACGTAAGACACCTCACTCCTTTCCCTTCTGCCATAATTGGAAACTTCCTGGGCCTCTCTAGAAGCAGATGCTGCC